TATTTTTTTATTGATTGCTTTGTTGAATTTAAACTTTAAAGATCCCGTTGAATTATTTGGTTCACAATAAACTGTCTATTACTGTTGAATGTCATCACGTAGGATTATAGCTCGATAAATATCGATACAAATGTTCCGAGATCGATCGACTGCTATGAGCGAGGCCATTATAAAATTTAAGCATTATTATATTATTGGATGAAAAAAGATCAAGCTTAAAACATCTACATTTCTGTCAGTGTAATCAATAATAATTAATACTGATTTTGATTTCATAGACAAAAAATACATTAAAGTTAACGTAAATGTCACGTATATTCGCAGAGCTTGTATAAAAAAAAACGATATCCGTAAACGAAAAGGGCCGAGCTCAGACTCCGCTTTGATATTCACTGCAAATTTCATTACATTTGGCGTGAAACGTGCCTTTTCTTTTCATATTTTAAAACCGATTTGTTTAATGAAATTGTGTAAGGGGACTGAAAATAGTTTCGTTGACAATATCTTAATTTGATACGTTATGTTTTATTGTGATTGTTAAATAAGTTAAATTATTTTTAATGATACTTACTTGGTGGTGCAATAGTTAGCGCCCTCGATTGCTGGACCCAATGTCGTGGGTTCACATAGCGCTAACATTTGTGTGATAAACATATTTTTCTGTGTTTAATACCCTTGTATGTACCTATATACTTAAACGTACATAAGTAGGTATGTAGTAGTAGTCTCTGGTTCCCATAACACAGAGAATCCTTGTTTTGGGGCCATATGATTGAATAATATGACTTGTCCCCCTTTATATTTATAATTTATAAGAACTAGTTATCATGCATTATTATGGTATGAACATAATAATATTCATTTGATCCTGATTAGAATTTGAGCATTATTTGATCCCTAAAAAGATTTACAATGGACTAATATAGATAGCATTTACTTTGTTAATCTATATAACTTTTAAATTAAAATCATTGTAGTCATAGGTAGTTAACTAAAAGTACGAATTGTTTTGACAGAGGCGAAATAACGAATTCATTCGCGAATCAAGAGTAAAAACGACGTTGTCAAATGTATTTATTTAACGTCTGTCCGAATTAATTTGCAGCAATCTCAGAGCAGACTCGTAACGGGCTCAGTGATTCAATTATGTCACACGAAACACGATCGTCGAGGCGAAAACATGGGGAAAAACGGGAAAAATGTCCGAGCATTAGATCGCGTTCACGATAAGTGGATGACTTCTCGCATGGTTTGATGTCAAAGGGCGCGCAGTGAGTCGCAACGCTAGTCGAACACCGCCGCACGCCGCCACACGCACTGCCCGCCCCAACACGTTCCAACAGTTCCATCTGCGTAATAAAGCTAATTAAAATATTTGAGATACTTTAATACGTCACTTTCTTACATTATAATGGTCACTTCATAAATTAGTCGTCGTCGTGGGCAAGCGGATAAGACGTCCGATGCATTCGTGTTGATCGATGCACCGGTTTTCGAATCTCAGGCGGGTATCAATTTTTCTAATGAAAAACGCACTCAATAAATGTTTACGATTGACTTCCACGTTGAAGGAATAACATCGTGTAATAAAAATGAAACCCGCAAAATTATAATTTGCGTAATTACTGGCGGTAGGACCTCTTGTGAGTCCGCGCGGGTGGGTACCACCACCCTGCTTATTTTCTGCCGTGAAGCGGTAATGCGTTTCGGTTTGAAGGGTAGAGCAGCCGTTGTAACTATACTTGAAACCTTAGAACTTAAATCTCAAGGTGGGTCGCGCATTTACGTTGTGGATGTCTATGGGCTCCACTAACCACTTAACACCAGGTTGGCTGTGAACTCCATATAAGCATAAAAAAAAAATCATTTGCTTAAAGTAGAGGCTCCATCTGATTCCCGAATGAATTATCAGGTTAATATGTCAACACGTACGGAAACAAATCCTTTTTAAATTACATTGCCGTCGGTGCAGAAGCGTATGTGTGTGCGACATCGATATTTTAAAGTGAACCACGTTATGCATGATATAAAAGATAGGAGAAGTTAGGACTTAGTAACCATTTGCCGAAATTGGTCTCGTTTGAGATAACAACAAGTTTTCGCACCCTCGCAACTAAATGTGCAATTCATACGTGTGTAAATATCGGCGATGCAAAGAAAAATAAGCCTTAACTAATAATGTTATGGTTTATTTTGATATGTAAAGTTATTTTTTAGCATATGTCATTGCTGATACTTTGGTAGTCTTATCGGATATTTTTGGCCAACGTGTGGTAAGTGTTCTTTATAGGTTGTGAAATTTAGATAGGATTCAGTATTTTACAATTATTACGAAATATCAAATTGAGAAGACATATTATTATACTAAAGGCTTCCGTTGCCAATATATTAACTTTCAGTGACATCAGTAAAGATATTGGCGATCAGGAAGAGGTTTAACAAGCATCAACTGGCGATAGCCTACTTTTTTTATGAAGGTAAGATTATTTGTGTCCCGAAGGTCTTTCCAGTTTCACCAGGACAGGTGAGAAGATCCGACGAGAAACTCAGCGGACTGATGTATAGCGGACGGACGAGAAGTAGTCAGCGGCGGCAACGATAAGATTATCATGACGCATAGCCTTATCGAAGCACCGTTCCGACGCTGACTTCTGGTGTTTCCGGATCGATTCGAGGCCCAGATCGTCGTGCAGGTTGGCGTTCCTCACGAATCACGGTGCTCCGACGGCTAACCTGCAAAAACGTGATTGTAAGGTTTGGAGGGATCTATGAGTGCGCGGTGCGGTGTATCCGGGCCGTTTGAGCGAAGACCATACTCGCGTATGTCATGACGGAGAGCCTACTCTTATACACGTAAAAAAAAGTTCGCTTGGAAAAATTTAACTATTATTGTACAAAGGCTAAATGTGGAAATCCTGGGAATGTTAAACATCAAACTGTCTAATAACTATCATTATAGGAGTGGATGTCAATTCCAAACGTTAACTAAAGGACATCTCATTTGTGTTTTATCGGGTTTATGTTGGGAAAACCGATCGGTCCATTTACTCGAGAGTTGTTTTTTATTTTTTTTTATTGCCTTTTTAGGCAGACGAGCATACGGCCCACCGGATGGTGAGTGGTTACCGTTGCCCATGGACTTCAGCAATGCCAAGGGCAGAGCCAAGCTGCTGCCTACAGCTTAATACTCTCCACAAGCCTCGTTACACTGTAAGAGCGATGTTCAGTAAAAAAACCATAATGTTCACCTCAGTTTGACTACATTGTCCAATACTTTGCCGTCTTGCCATATTGGTGTAAGATATTCACAATTTTTTTGGATGCTAATTTTACATTTGATGGCTGCTCGTAATTAATTTATTTTTAGTAGCGTTAACTGTTGGATCACGGGCAGCCAGCAGTCTTATGTAATACTTCTGAACAGCAATACAGGCGGTAACTACGAGATCGATTAGCCAATACTGCTACTACTGTTCTGGTATCTCTGTACTGCGATTACGATGCAAGTTTGAGACAGGTTCTGTAGTATTTCTTTCGTAGATTAACCAACCTTCTTCGATCAAAAATACTACTGTTTGGGCGCAAAACCTCGTACAATTTTTGTATTAGTCATATAGTATTAGTCAGGTATTTATTATATATACGCAGTAAAAAGGTCAAAAAGTATTGACTTTATTTTTATACGAAAACTCAAAGAAGGTGACAATTTTTAACAGATTCCAAACAAAAGAACAAATGTTTTGAATTAAATTAAAATACTCCAATTTCTTTTTTTTTAATTAAAATTTAGTCAAATAGATTTTGGAAAATATCTGTCCTCTTCTTAAACTTTGCATTCAGAAAACCACTAAACTTAGATTTTATTCTTTGCAACCCAATAACAGTAGTCGAGCGCTCGCATAGTTTGCATGTGTTCACACAGTCGACTAAACAATGAAAGGTACCTGAATTCTTACTGAGACGGGAAGCGAAGTAATCTTATAAGATAAACGTTATTAGATGCATCTATCAAAAAACTTTTCCAACCAAGCGAACAAATCGAATGTAAACAATTCTTTTGTGTAAAGTTGTGAACTTCTAGATAATAAAAAAAAACCAGTCGTATGTATAAAGAGCTCCTCCACCTCGTGTGCGCGATATAAGCATTAAAAATTAACTTCACCACCTACCTTGAAACTTGATTTATATCTTTTACTCGCATAGTAATTACGGAAAGGATAAATTTTGCATGTTTGGATCTTATTACATGTTCCCATGTTGATTATTCCTTAATCGTGGAAATAATTCGTCAACAAATTGTAGGTAAGTTTTTCATTACAAAAAATTTTACCTGGCGGCGGGATTTGACGCTAGTACAGTCGCCAATCGCTCGGTACGAGTAGAGCATTCGTATTTTCCTTTAAACTACGTCGACATAGACAAAAGCTATAATACATGCAAATGTAAAGGAGAATTACACCGGCCGACATCATTTTCCTTGTTCAAGTTCTGATTATTTTTTTCCACTAATTTGGTAGTGCTGATCACGAAATTATACCTCATTTTATCGTATCACATCAGGTTTTAAAAAAAATTAAGACATTGGCTATTACAAATTTTTTGATTAAAATAAATTAAATTTTAGGTTTTGGCGCTCATTTCTCGAATCGTGCGACCTCTCGTGAGGAAATATATTAGTTGCAACAACGACACACCCATTCGAAACAGGTTACATGCAAATAAACCTCTACAGTTACTTTGTTCATAAACTTTTTACTGAAATTAGTGTGTTTATTTAAAAAAAATCTTACGTTACGTACTTATATATATTTTTTATTTTTTTTTACTTATATACAAAATTTCCATGCTTCTTGTGCGAGTGGGACAGTATAGCACGAGACAAGCACTACGTTCAAAAATAATGGAATCCTCGTAAAAATCTCAAAGTAGAAACAAAAAACGTTATACGAAAAAATTTAATTAGTCCTAAAAAAATTTTACTACCTCCGCTTCATATCAAACTCGGTATGATGAAACAGTTTGTTAAAGCATTGGATAAAAACAATGCTAGTTTTGAATACCTGTGTAAAAAAATTCCAAGATTATCTGATGCAAAAATTAAAGAAGGAGTGTTCGATGGACCGCAAATCAGATCTTTGATGGCTGATGAAAAATTTGATGCCAGAATGAATAACACTGAATCAGATGCTTGGCTGGCGTTCAGAGATGTTGTCAACAATTTTCTAGGAAATAATAAACATCCCGACTATAAAAATAAGGTTGCAAACTTATTGGATAAGTATCAAAAATTGGGGTGTAATATGAGCATAAAACTCCACTTTCTAGATTCACATGTGGACTTTTTTCCTGATAATCTTGGTGATTACAGTNTATAAAAATAAGGTTGCAAACTTATTGGATAAGTATCAAAAATTGGGGTGTAATATGAGCATAAAACTCCACTTTCTAGATTCACATGTGGACTTTTTTCCTGATAATCTTGGTGATTACAGTAAAGAGCAGGGAGAAAGGTTTCATCAGGACATAAAAACTATGGAGACAAGGTACCAAGGTCGATGGAATGTGAATATGATAGCTGATTACTGCTGGTCACTGACACGTGATATTACTGAAGATACTCACAAAAAAACTACACCCAGACGTAATTTTGTCACGAAACGTAAAAGATGTCACTCTAAATAGTCCTACAGCATTGTTTAGACTCATTGTTTTCTTTGTAAATGTTCAAATATATGTTTTTGTAATATGATTATTGATTTTTTCGTTAAATTTTGTAAAAAATGCTTTTTCCTTCTTTTAAAAAAATCTGATGTGATGGGGCAAATATATAGGTGTTTTTGTGTTTAAAATAGTATAAATTGGTGATATTTGTGGCTCAAATACAAACAACATTCAAAAAATTTTCATTTGTCGGCCGGTGTTATTAATCTCAAAATTTAATAAGATACTTCAATATTTTTAATCGTCTCATACCCATTACATCAATACCGAGATCAAAACAAAACAAATTCAATAAAACGTGACAATAAAATCGAAAAGGGTGAATACAAAAGCATAAAACTGAAAATATAGCACTAAATGAGTTGAAGACGTCTCACGATCGAGCACTTTTATCGCCCTCGTACATCGCGCCCCAAAAGATTCCTATAACTGTCATCTTGTCAAGCTACACTACGACACAAATCCTCATATTACCATAGTGTAATATTTTACGGGTTACGCCAGTGAAAATAAATACAGATCATATGAAAATTGGAAACCTAAATCGTATGGAATTTACATATCAGTTGTTGACGTAGAAATCCCTGACACGACTTAATACTGGATTCGGGGTGAAATTTCTTTTTTTTTATATATATCTGACGGTTTTGTTTACAGTCGTTGTGTTTGTAGTCGAATGGAGGAGATATTACATTTTATTCCAATGATGTGCATATTACACTTTATACATATATATTAAACATATTATTATTTAACACATACGTACGACTGAATTCGCTTTAAGTTTTACGATGAATAGTGCCTTAAAGTCTTCGATAAACAATTGTTACTATTGTTGATCGAAGCTTAAAGTATTATCAGTTGATGATGCAAGTCTACTGCTGTACATCAACCCTTCAGTGATCCCCTTCTATTTGTTTTCAGAATGACCGGTCTGATCTTGCGGCTTCATCGAGCGTATATTTATGATCATTGTCATACTTTGCGTCAGGACTTATTAATTAACTTCACCGTCGACGCCCTAGACACGTCCTTACGGATCCATCAGATCCAATAACCTTTGCATTAGACGCCTTCAGCTCTAACACTAGGAGCAGGCTTAGGGACCTCGGTAACCGTACTCGTCGAACTCGACAAAGAGTTCGCCGTGCAACCTAACCCATGAATCAGCTCGCTGAGTTTCTCGCCGGATCTTCTCAGCGGGTCGCGATTCCGATCCGGTAGTAGATTCATTCGCGAAGCAGCTGCTCTTGAGTTGTTAGGTCTCCTTCGGAGGCGCTCGGGTAGCTGTTAGCAAATCCCACCCCTCCTGGCTGAGCCTTTGCTCGCCCACCTGTCCTGGTGAAACTGGAAAGGCCTCCGGGCCACCAGTAATCCTTCAACCATAAAAAAAAAAAAATTAATTAACTCTGGCGTTCCATCGATTTCCATGCTCGTTTTTGTTATACATCAATGAAATACAGCTCAATGCATTGCCATGTAAAAAAATGTATCGACCAATGAATTCCAGCCGGAACAAATTAATAATTAAAATTATTCCGGCTGGAATTCATTAACATTAACTATTTAATTATTAATTAATTTGTGTAACAAATTAATAAATTTATTTATTAATTAACTAATTAGTTCTTGAGAACTGAAATGGAGAACTTTTTATTAGGCTTTTCCAGAACTAAATTTACTAGAGACATCACTGTGAGTTCATTGCAAACAAGGGCGCGTAGGCTATGACATCGTGCCCTAATTGCACTCTGGTAAACAGCGACTAGGTCGTTCACCAGACATTGTTGATGTCCATGAGCGACTCACCATCAAGTGGACCGTATAGGAATAGCTGCATATATGTAGGCCCATGTGTAGGGACAGTATTAAATTCTCCCTGTTGTATACCGTATATTCCATGGGTAAATAATGTGAGGAATTATTTGGGACAATCCCGTCATCTCGTTTACTATCGGCTTGCCACCAGGCGACAAGAAGACCTGGTAGCATACTAGAGCAGATTTTACCACCTATTATCTGTAATTACTGAATTTTATCTTTAAAAAAATTCAAAAGGTCTTTTTTTCCATTTACCGTCGAGCTCTGAATTAGACTTCCGCCGTCGAGTGCTAATAATAATATATAACACATTTATGGCAAGTATGAAAATAGGCCGTCGGTTGGTGGATTAACTGTACCCTCATTATTGCTGAGTTTCATAAGTGAATGTCACCAGATATTATTAAAACAGCTATAGATGGGTACGTTTTTCTTCGTTCTTACTTTAAAAAGCGATGTGCAAATATTAGTGATTCGAAGTTGTATTGATACGCAGGCTTACATTGGGTAAACGAATCATATGAAGTAGATAAAACTTAATTAGAATGATAAATTTCTAACTTGTTAATGTCTATTTGTATAAACATTAATAAGGCGTGTTGTATTATAATTGAAAATCTTTTAAGTCTGGTATCTGGTATTTCGAACAAAACTTTCCAATATTTTTAATGAATCCAAGCGAAATAAAATGGATCGTTACTACAATGACAGCTGTAGGTATCACATTTATGTAATAAATTTCGTTTTTAAATTTGGCATTTTAATCTTATAAAAAATCATGCAAATTAGATATTTCCACAACGCACGTTACGAAAATGGCGCGAGGGAGGTTTATTTTCAGCTGGGCGGAGTCTGAGAGAAAAATGTACCGCCTTGTCGAAGCCACGCCCATCTTCCTCTTCACAACCATTTTACTTATTTCGGTTTTATTACCCAACATGTGCACACATAGGTCCGGTAACATATCAATGGCTAGATGGACACACCGCGATACGCTTCGTACATTGAAAGCTTGCTTCATATATCTCTATTGTTTCATACAACTTCGTGAAAATTTTACTTTGGTTTTATATCATGATGATACACAATTATCATGATATAAAACCAACAATGTGAAATTATCACAACACGGAGGTATTTGAAATGACATCAGAGTGACTCGGAATGGCGGATATTTTAAAACGGAATAATGCAGTACAGGTAACTAGAAAATATGTAGGACGCACTTTTAAGTGGAATTAAACTTTGTAATAATCTGGAAGTATCGCTATAAAATGTATTATGTGTCTAAATTGTCATATTTGTTACAATAACTTATTTGAGTATAATTGTTGGCTCACCGTATATATCATGTCGATCCTGATTGTTTCCTGTTAACAAATTTAAATCCCTATTTCTTTAATTCTTACCTCTACGAGTCCTTCAAGAAGGTGGTAGTATGTGGTTCCGGCAAGGTGAAATGAATAATACACGATCGGTTTCAACAAATCTGCGTATTTCAAACCTCAAATGTAGTCACAGCTAGCGTGGCAGTTTCACTAGTAAATGCAATGCGAAAGTTTTTTGTTGAATATAAGTACTATATTTATAAGGAACACAGCCTCGCGTCTTCACCAGAGTCTTCACAACGTGCACTCAGCTTAGAACGTGATGCACTCACCTTATAACGTGTTCGTGTTCGTTAATGTTGAAGCTTTAAACGTGTTGTGAATGGATGTGGATCTATGTGTATGGATGATTACAGTTACAGAATAAGAGTACACAATACGCCCTACCATCAGTATTTTTGCAAATTTATGAATATACTTTTAAAAAGTATTTAAAACCAGCAGGCTCTAAACTCGGTATTGCATTAGTAAACGTCTATCCTATTGGTCAAATGTCTCTTTTTTTCCTCAAATAGTTCTTTTCAATCAGTTAATACGCAGTTAAATACTGTTGCTTATTTAATGGAAAAAGAACCTGTGTTTGAAGAGTGCCTTGTTATTAATCGTATTGGAATGTTATAATGCTGTGAAAAACAGTATTTAATAAATAAAGCTCGATAAGTGGTTCCTAAAGTCTATACTGACGCTGAGGCGTTTGTTGTGAGCTCGTACAAGTAAATGTCAATTTCCATCTTATTAGTACCGCGGAGTAATCATGCGTTCCGGATTGAAGGGTGGGGATACCCTTTAGCAATATAAGGCCTCAATTCGATCCAGGCTTCGACTTCATAGTTAAGGTGTGTATTTACGATTGTAATGTTTGGACTCGACAACACGGGAGTTATAAGTTAGTTGCTGCACTAAAAAAAGATTCTTAGTCTTATTTAATACTAGATGTGCCCCGCCGTTTGACTCACTTTAAATTTATAAAACAGGAAGAATGAAACACGTTTCATTATTCCGGGATAAGCAATTCCTTATATCGTTTCTTTGGGCCATAAACCAACCATAACCCTAGTTTATTTGTGGATCCGTTGGTACGTAATATAAAAAACTAGTGAACTATAATTTACACCCGGCGTTGCCCAGTTGATTTTAGTTGATATCATAAATAGTATCTTGAATAATTTATGTTAAAAACAATCTTTGTGCGAAATTTCGGATAGACCTCATCAACCCTTTTTAAATTATTATATAACAAACAATTATATATTGTAACATTTATGATATTAATATTGATTAGGTATTACATACCAGAACATCAAATAAGTTAAAATACATTTACAAATATTAAAAAAATTGGAATAATTGTAACTGATATTAACATCGTGTTTCTTTCTCGTGTCTTTTTCGATCTTCGTTGATGTTGACTGTCAATCCAAACCACATCGTGATTTGATTATTATTTTAGATAGTACCTACACCGCTTATATTAGAGCATAATGAAATTGGGTAGTATTAATTAGGTAAATATAATTGATAATTAAATTAAATAATGGTTACGTTGATTAAATTATTGGTTTTGGGTTATTGAAATTTATAAAGATACGACAAGAAAATACAAGACAAATTTCAGAATACTGTAGACTTAAGTTAATGGCCACTTTTCATTGAAAAAAGAACGAAAGAATCAGATAAAATAACGTTTTAGCAGTACTGTATAGGTTTCTGCCTGCCCTTTCTTAATTTTATTGGCGTTGGTAGTACACAAGCATACGGCCTTCCGAAGTTAAGTAACCCATTGCTCATGGGCATCAGCAATGCTAGGAACAAAGCAATGGCACTGCTTACTGCTGCGAAATATCAAAGCTCGGACAAGAACATCACAGCACTCAAGAACTACCCAGAATAGCAGTTCAGTCTCAGGCCGCATAGTATGAGGAGTAACGATTGCTGGAAACTCGAGTAAATTTATGTATTTATATTATCTAATCTAGCCAATAGTGATTATAGCTTACCATCAGGTGGGCTAAAACTGAGAATCTATGAATGTATAGTATATGTTCTTGGACGCTGCCCTACTCACATTATTCCTAGAGAATGACAATTAGTGATGACTGCATTGAACAGTTTTCCGAAATACGAAAAGGAAAAAAGCATAGTTTGGAATAATTTTATACAAACTTTTTGTTAACAAATAGAAAAATTGAGTTTTAAAAAAATATTTTTTTGTGGAAAATAAATGGGTTGTCATTAGTCATTTTTAAATAAAATTATAAGAAAACGTTTTCCCTAATTTGAATTTAGAGTAGGGAATGTATAATTTATTTATGGCCGCCTACCTACTACATGTACACACATACCTACTACATGAAACTTTAATAGAAAATATTTTAATCAGTTAGGTGATTCATGACTATAGTATCAAAATGAGTTTATAACGAACAAAAATCACATATTTTTTAATTCAATAAAGAGTATTTATTTAATAGACCAATCAATTGCACTCGTGCATAGATTATAAATCATTTTGACATTGAAAGCGACAAAGACGTAAAGTGACCCTCAAGACGCGTTGACTTATTGTTGGGTTTTATGCTAGCAGGTAGTTAAAAAATGTTTCTTGTTGAACTGTTACTGTGAATATTAATTTGATAACGCGTGTTCAATAAAGTTAATATGGATGATATAAATTCGACATCACTTAGTTTCATTCCAGGCTGGCTAAAAATAATCCTAGAGGAAAGTGATGAAGAAGGTGCGTTTCTAATAATTTAATTAAATTTGTAAGTTCAAAATCGAAGCAGAAAGCATACTAAGAAATTCTTTTTTTCGAGAGTGATCATAGTTATTTGGAATATTAATAGTAAAATTGACAAACTAAATGGCACAAAAAATATACTATCCATTATTCACGTTATTCAATATTACCGTGCATTGGTGGGTAGAATTATGTATAGTATTGTTAAAAATAATTATTATGATTAACTGTGGCAGTGTACTTGTACTAGTTGTGAGTGCCAGCTTCATAATAACTATTGTCCCATTGGTTGGGATCTATCAAATATTGAATTTAGAAAAATGTTTTATTATGTATTTTACTGATCATGATTATTTTTAAAATCAATGGAAGTGTATTTAATGTCATTATTAATCAATTAGTTTATTTCAAAAAGGCAAAGGTTTACTATTATATTAAGATTAAATTAAATCAACACGTATTTTTTACGCAGCGCAGTTCGCAATATTTTTGCCTCTGCTATTGTGGATGCTCATGAATGTCCGTAATCAATTACGAATAAATGGCTTGTGACCTCATCTGTTGACGCACGTCTACTTTCATAAACAAAAAAATACCTAAATCTAAATGTAACCTCTATTTTCTGTAAGCAATAACACTGTACTGCCACTCTGGAGCTATTGGAAATCTGTTTTTATAACTAGCAGAAAAGCTCTTCTATTAATTGAGAAATACACACAGAAATTTTAATTGCCCACCTACATTTTGACATGACAAGTCGAAGTCTCGAAGTCAAGATGGAACTCTTAATTACATTTATGTAATAAACATCGTTTTAGAACTCAACACAATAATATCACATACTGGTGGCAGGACGTCTTGTGAGTCCGCATGGGTAGGTTCTATCACCCTGCCTATTTCTGCCGTGAAGCAGAAATGTGTTTCGGTTTGAAGGGTGGGGCAGCTGTTGTACTGTAAAAATTGAGACCTTAGAACTAATATCTCAAGGAAGGTGGCGGAATTTACGTTGTCGATGTCTATGGGTTCCAGTAACGACTTAACACCAACCAGGAGGGTCGTGAGCTAGTCCACGTTCCTAAGCAATAAAAAAACCGCTACTAAGTTAAGCCAACGTGAAGAAAATCGTCATGCTAAGCTTATCGATATTATCGACGCTTTCCATTATTAGTATCGTGTCTCTGCTCTGGTTACAATTCTACTTCATACCATAAGTGGTTGCTTGCATTTAGAATCAAGTCGGTCCCTGTATGCAACAGAAGTAAATCAAATATCGACTTTCAATCGTAACAATTTTGACAGCGAAAGAAATGAGCTCGCCATGGGGTTTCAAAATGCTTGGAAAAACATTACGGAAAATTATATGGAATATGTGTTCTATGATGGCCATTGAAACCAAAGGAGTGCCTGGTCAAGCTTGTCGGCTGGTGGAGCGTAGTATCGTTGCACGCATCAAGGAGAGTGGAAATATAAGTTAGTATTACTGTACTATGATTAAATAGTGTAAAAAGTGCAAAATATTCAGAGACATAAATCAAATCCACTGCGGCAATTTTTTTGCCATATTTAAAAAAAAACAACTTATGATAGGCACCATTGCTTAGCATGATATTAATCAAATATGTCATCGTTCAAATTAAAATTAAACGTCAAATTAACGTAAAATTCAGTTGAAATATCCACTTCTTCATACAAAGATTCAAATAAAGCTTAAGCGGGGGATTCGTTGTTTGTTATAGCCAGGGTTCTATATACAAACTGAAGCTCAGATTTTTTTCCATAGAAATTTCTTCATTTCATTCTAAACTGTTCCAAATCGTCTGCCATCGCTCCTTCAATGTCCTCTCTTCAGTCTTTACTATTACTTTACCAATACATTCATTTGTTCATTTCTGTTCTATAATCAAAAGCTAAAATTCGGTATTCACAATAATGATAACCTATTTCCTCGGGGCTATTTCGGCCGCGGAGCAATCATTTGCTCCGCTTTGAAAGGTGAATCAACTGTTGTTCAGTAAAATAACGGCTACGACCTCATTTTTCAAGATGGATGTCATTTATTCGATAAAAAGGAACTTATGAAGTGATTTTTGGATAGTAAAATTTTCAGCACTGCACATCTATCACACATTGTCTGGTCTTTATTTTTTGAGAACAGTTCCCATGTCATAATATGTAGTACTATATACCCGGTACAAGCTATGCCGTGCATTTGTATGTTGATAAGTGGGTATGTATATAATAAAAACACTTTTTTTTAAAGGTGGAACTGAGTGGGACCATTTTAAACGGCATCTAGCGATTCGTATACCTCTGATAATGGCTTCTGCAGTTCAGATAGCTGCCAAAATGTCACACGCCTCGGAGTCAATAAAAGCGAGCGTAATACAAAGGGTCCTTCAGATACGAGGATCAAACTATTCAATAGAAGAGATTAATCAATCAGAATGCGAAGTGCTTAAAAACTTAGGTAATTCTTTAAAACTACATATAGACCATTCTCTTATCTGTTTGTAAACCGTTTTTTTTTTGTTTACTAAATATTAATTGAAAATATTGATAAAATAGTCTTTCTTTGCTAAATGTCAGTAACAATGCAACATAATCAAGGCAGAAACATAATTAATTCATAAAACAAAATCTTAGGTTTCAGTGATTGTTATTGGATTTCGATAATTGGGCGAACATTACTTTCTTTGTATAGTTGAACCTTAAATTTTAGACTAGAGTATCAGATTGAGCATAAAAATAAAAATAAAGTACTAAAGACGAATCCTTATTAAAACAATTTCCGCAATCCGACTTTGTGATCCGGTCGTTAGAAAATCTAATAGCTACATCAGGCTGACGAATTTTACAGTATAGTATAGTGGTACGTTTAATAAAAACAATAATAAAATGTTATGAAAAAAAAAGGATATTATTAAGTGTTATACGTTGCACAGATTTCCGTGTGCCGATATGGACGAGCGTCGAAGTGGCTACGCTTTTGGCCACCGAGGTCGGTATGACGAGCGAAATGATTTCCGGCGTCGAATTGATGGTTGACTTGGCCGAGTTCAACCGTTTCAAATTAGAAAACGACATGTGCATCACCGCGACCCCGTCCAACTCGTCATGTAAGTTCACGCTATCTAACATAACAATATAAAGAACAATATTTTTAATTGTTTGTTCGTATTCGTAAGAGCGGCGATGCCGTTCGGCTGACCGTGATTTAAATTCGTCAATTTATAGCTCACACGTGTAGTTTATAGACGTGGCATCGTCAACGTAGTACACATGTATGTGTGTGTAAACATTTTTTTTTCATTTAGCTATAGTAAGATTAATTAGTAGTATCTTAACAATTGTAGTGTATAACGGTGAATACATCACACACCTTCGATATACCGACGATATAATAGTAATGGCTGAATCACTGGATTTGGGGTTCGGTGACTTCAATAGAGTTTCTCAACAAGTGGGCCTTAAAATGAATATGGATAAATGGAAAATCATGTCAATGTCCATGTTAAGTCCACCGCACTAACTGTTGGAAACGCTACTCTTGCAGTTGTAGACGAATTTATATACCTACCTACCTACCTATATAGGTAGGTGCTTGTGTTTGTTCGTGTTCTATATTACTAATGGTTCGTAAAAATATTTTTTTTGTAATAAAGCTAAATTTGGTTGGTGTCATAAGTCTGTGTTTTTTTTTAAATTTTAATCTGTATTTTAACGTAGGTTTAATGAAGAAACGTTTGCGCACACTACACCTGACGGCGGGCGCAGTGATGGCCACAGTACAATATTACGAATTGACCGGGCTGGATCCGGTCGGTAAGTTAGCTAGTATTACACGGGTACCGGCGACGTTTATCACGTGCATCGCCGATTTTATCATAAAGTATTTGGATGAGGAAGATCTGCCGTACCTCCCTATGCCGCGAAAGCGAAAATTTAGTGAAGTGTGATTTTTAGTTCGTGATGTCGCGACTCGCTAAGTACTAACGGTAGATACGTCGTAGAGTGCAACTTGATTATATAAGCAACACTACGGCAACCTGTAAGTGAGTCAGCGAACACGAGGATTTCATTTGAAATTGTATATTTTAACTTTCATCATGTTTTAAACTTTAAATATAACTGGATTTGTGATGATTTTTATTTTAATGTAGAACATATGTACATACATTTTAAATGGGTCGCTGTAAAAAAAATAAAAAAAAACCCTGAAACTGAAATCTTAAAGATTTTAACGATAGGTTTTTTGTTTCAAAAATATTCTGAAATTCCTCCTCTACGTTTTTCTAAGGACAAACATTTTTGCCGACTTTTTGTCAAATTGTTCGTTATTATAGTTTAAACGTAACAAATGAACTGTAACTTAGTATTATTGGTTCATTAAGGGCTTCTCTAATAAATACTTCGAATTGTGATGTTTGTCTCGTAATTTTCTTTTCTTTAAACATTCAGCAAATGTTTAAAAAATATGAAATACGACACTAATATGATAATTCAATGAAAACGGAAAACTGTTATCGCGTCGATAATTTGAATTGTTTACTAAAATTATATGCCAGATATCGTAAGTTATATTTAACTTCACGTTGTATAAACGGTAGTATTTTGTATGATTAAAGTAACTTTTTATTAAAAAAAAAATGTACTCTTATAGTTTTAAGCTTCAATAAATATTTTTATGTTTGTTTTCTCTCTTAATAAAGGTCTTTGATTTTACGTTTTGCATTATTCATTTGTCTTCTGACCTTGTAAATGTCCATCGATAATACAGTATTAGTTTTTTGACTACCCTCCTAGATATCGTTTTTATCAAAGCACAAGGCCACAGAATCTTGTGACAGAAAGCCGGAAATAACTGCGTTTCAAAGGGTAACAAATCCAAAAAAATTTTCTTTCTTTCATGTACTTTACTAGGTTAAAGTTGTTTTTTTTAAATCTTGACACGAGAAAACGCTATATTTTAATCCACCTACAGCGATCACAAAAACTGTCAATACCAAATAATACGCCTGAATAGAATTTTGTAGAATACAAAAGGTAAATTCAACGAACTTCAAGTGAAAAAATTCAAAATAAATCACTTTAAACCACATTGAACATATCTAAAATTTTAAAAAGTCTAGCATGCAAACAAATATAAATGAATATTCATAAGCGAAGCAAAAACTTTGTATCCATTTCTACAAAAAACAGACCGACGGAGCAGTATTAAATTTTATAGTTAGTTTATTTGGACAGAAGTGCAGAAAAGAAATCTCTTATAATTATTCTAAAAATCGATCATTATATTATATTTAAAAAAAATATATCATTGCACATACTATCTTGTCTGACATACAAACAGACACACACATTTAAAACTAATTGATAGTTTTTTGTTTGTCATTGAAGTGATCAAACTGAAAAGAGATTAATATTATTTGGCTATAGCCGTACTGAGTAATTATAATTATGATATTGTCATAGTCACAGTCCGTCTAATGGATGTTGGTGCTTTAGAAGTATATTAGTTTAATAGAGTAATGATATATTAATTTAATAATAATTAATAGTTGTTAGACACGTGACTAAACAAGCATTGACGCTAACAGAATATACCTTGTCTAACCCAGGAACCTAATCGGACTCGTGGTCTGCCGTAGTAGTCAGGGTTATGGACTAAACAGTTTGGGCGTTCGTGGAAATATAACGATAAATAAAAAAAAAACAATTTATATTTAAAGTAAAAACAAATTAACTAAATTCGTAATTTGACTTAACGTTTCACGGCTTGTTTGTTACGCAACGAGTGATCCCGAGATTAATACTCGAGCTTGCCGTAAAAAGTTAAGTCTATAAGGTAGCAATATAAGTGAACATTGAAGTGATGACTGCGAGACAGCGAGGAGGCTGCATGCCGCCGCACCACAGGGCCCTTTGATCGGCCATCCGCGATGAATTGATGCACATCGCATCACAAACCATAACTTTAATAACGCCGTTTAATATCACAATATCTCCGGACTAGCCGTATGTTATGGAATTTGACTTTAATTTTACACAGCATTTGGTTGAATCTGTGAAATATAAATGAAACGTGCTAATAAATAAAATACGGAAATTTCTAGGAACTGTCTCGATTTCTTTGAAAACTGTTCGTAAAATTCATTTCCATGACTATGTAAGAAGCGAGGTTACCAAACCATGGCGAAGATCGCGTTCTATATGTCACCAAGTGAATCGGATTGTTGAGATCCTATTGAAGTCGTTGTGGCTTAAAGGATTTTTTTTTATTGCTTAGATGGGAGGACGTGCTCACAGCCCACCTGGTGTTAAGTGGTTACTGAACCCAATAGACATCTACAACGTAAGTGCGTCACCCACCTTGAGATATAAGTTCTAAGGTCTCAAGTATAGTTACAACAGCTACTCCTCCCTTCAAACCGAAACACATTTATTCTGCTTCACGGTAGAAATAGGTAGGGTGGTGGTACCTACCCGCGCGGTCTCACAAGAGGTCCTACCACCAGTAATTACGCAAATTATAATTTTGCGGGTTTGATTTTTATTTCATTTATTAAGGCTGGATATTATATTAACCCTACGAGTAGTATAGAGCGATACGATTATGCCGGTGCTCAACTCCCGCAAACCGGCCTTAATTATTTCTAATAAAATACGTATGTACATAACTCATGTTCGGCTTTCTTTTAAGATGAAGAAATAGCAATACGAAATTCAAACTCGTTTAATTCGAAAATCAATACGTTCAGTGCGTTATTGTAAGTTTAAATTGAAGCAAGCTGTACTTGCAAGTCACCGGTGCTTACTTTAGGCGTCGTAGAATTCGATATCTGAAAACGAAATGGTAGATTTTTGTAAAACAAATTAGTTTGAATTTCAAATTCGTTAAAGAATGCTAAAGTACATTAAATAAAAATCATGGCAATATAATTACTCAAAAATAACTAAAACCCAAAAGCATTACTTCAATGATATTTTGTAATGCTTTTATTTCATAAATTAGCAACCAGAATCATCAAGCAGCAGTAAGAAAGAAAACTTCATAATCATATGAACGAGTCGTCGTGTCCTAAAGAATAAAGGGCCAGGCGTACTCGTATTAATTCATGCTATTAATGCGGTGTTGAAATTTTCGTAACCAAGTCTTATTTTTCCTAAGGAAATGTGTTAACTACATATGTGTTACAAAAAAATAAAATTAATTTATTTTCATAATTTACCACAGATAGAGCGTATTGTAAAGGGTAGGTACTGCCACCATGCTTAATAATGCCCTAAAGAAGTCACGAATTCCGGTTTGAAGAAAATCGATAATTATTAATTGAGGCCGTCAGCGCAAAAGTGGCCTAACCCACAATTCATATTCATGCTTATGTATTGCAATTTTTTTAAAACATTGTAAATTTTGATGCAAAATCGGCCTATCTCTAGTTTCAATCCATAGACATAGACATAATAATATAATATGACTTTGCAAACATCATTTTAGCGCGTATTTATTTGCTTACGAAGAATTGTAAAGGTAAATTCGAACCTTATTATCTCCATACTAGCTATGGTAAATTTAGGCCACTTTTATCAGACGAGCCGTAAGATCGTTCTGCCCATCAAAACAATAAAAGGAAAAAAACACATAATAATATACCTAACTTTCGAAACATTCAACCGTCATTTTATCAAAGCGAATGGAATTCAATTAAACATCAACCACAAGTTAGTAGTCAGTGCAACGAGCGCGACTTTTCACCGTAAACATAATCCGCAAAATGTTAACAAGTTATAAAAATTATGAATTAACGTCGCCGTGACGAGGGTCCGGCGGCGGGAGAGCAGACGAACGGGGGAGGACAACAATAGGTGCTGCTCTAGGGTGCCCAATAAAAACTTGACAAATGGCGTTTCATAATCGCTTCGCATTCCGAGCTTCGTCACAGGGATCCACGATTGTACTCCCCCACAAAATATGTCTGTCATATACGAATTACAGCGCTTAGTTCAAAATTCGTGGCCAGGTAACGTCGGCACCACAAGTTTAGTGCGACTGCAACCACAATTACATAGGATCATCAGGTTTCAATCAGACACTTGCGGTCAGACATACAATACACTATCTGCTAACTCATTTGACCACACTATCACGACACTGCACTTAACAGACTTGATGGAAACTGCGGCTAGCGATTTGATTGAACTTACAATGTGACGGATATTGTTACAGGCGACAATGAAAATCATATTAACAAATTTAGTTCCTATGATTATTAACTAAACAATGAAAATAGTAAATTGTGACTTTATTTACTTCCACTAGTATATATGTATGTATGTATGACTGAAGAACGCTGCAAAACCTTCAAATGTAATGTGTACCTCGTGACAATAAATGAAGTGGTTTTTTTTGCCACGTTTATTAATTACTCTTACTACATATGCTGTTTTATTTTTTATTTTTTTATTGCTTTGATGGGTGGACGAGCTCATAGCCCACCTGGTGTTAAGTGGTTACTAAAGCCCATAGACATCTAGGACGTAAATGCGCCACCCACCTTGAGATATAAGTTCTAAGGTCTCAAGTATAGTTACAACGGCTTCAACAACGGTTACAACCCTTCAAACCGAACATATTTTACAAAACAAATGGTGTTTACCCATCTTAAATAATATCAGCGATTTTTTATATTTTTGAGTCGGTTTACTGTAGGTTCGTTCATTCCTGGTCATTTCGATTCGTTCAACATGACGTGTTATAACAATTTCAACGAAATGATTTCCTTAAATAGTTCTGGTTGTACTTTTAAAATCGGCTCACGTCCATACATTTATCTTATCGCCCTACAATCACGGAACCCGAAGCTGCTTCAAAATTAACAGTGGTAGATCTTGTGCTTAAGATTTATGATGTTATAATGTGCTAAAAAATTATACTCTTGATTGCAACTGTGCGGTTTGACCAGAATCCGAAAATTCCAAAATATTAATTGGTCGACACTAAATACATTTTCAGATTTATTAGTGTGTTTGATATTAAAAATTATT